AAAATCAAGACATTCTCACCTATGGGTCGGGTGAAGCTGCTGCACATCGCCGGGTCTTCATCCTCAGTATAAGGCAGGTCGGGATTCGTTACAGGGCAGTGGTTCTTGCCGTCGCACATGGCGCCCGGGCGGCAGATGAGTGGCGAGGAGGGGCACTTGAAGGTGCCACGTGGACACCTGTAAGTGGAGCAGAAGTCCTCACCCTCCTCCGACCCGCTCTTGCAGTCGTTCACTCCGTCGCAGAACTTCCGAGTGGCAAGGCACTGCACGTCTGCGGGGCAGGCAGCCTGGCGAGGGGCGGAGGGAAACGGAGAACAAGGAAGGGCAAGAAGGTGGAGGGCAGAGAGAAGTGCAGGGGAAGGAGGCGATGAGCAAAGCACCATCATGAGGAGAAAGAAGGCCGATTCACCAGCCCAACTCACCCCAATCACCAGCGCCTGTTCAAACCAGCCTCCACTCACCAGTCCCTGCGCCAGGCAGCCGCTGATGAGTTCGCAATCGTCGCCCAACTCGTCGGATCCGTCGTTGCAATCCTCCTGCCCGTCGCACACCGCCTCGTCTAACCCACCCACTAGCCTCTGCTCTGATTAGCCTCTGCCCAGCCTCGACTCAAGCCATCTTCCCACTCACCAGCCCCTGTACCAAGCACCCGCTCATGAGTTCGCAGTCGTCGCCTGTCTCGTCCGACCCATCGTTGCAATCCTTCTGGCCGTCACACACCGCTGAGTCCCACCCACCCTCTAGCCTCTGTTCTTACTAGCTTCTGCTGATACCGGCCCTCACTCACCAGCCCTTGCGCTAAGCATCCGCTAATCAACACACAATCGTTGCCTGTCTCGTCCGACCCATCGTTACAATCCTTCTGGCCGTCACACACCGCCTCGCCCGGCACGCACCCGCTTGAAGGGGGAGAGAAGGCATAGATCACCACCCCCAGTAACCACCCCCAGTCACGAGTCCAACTCACCAGTCCCTGCGCGAGACACCCGCTGATGAGTTCGCAGTCGTCGCCTGTCTCGTCCGACCCATCGTTGCAATCCTCCTGCCCGTCGCACACCGCCGAGTCCGGCACGCACCCGCTGCTGTCGTGGCAGCGGAACTGGCCCGCCGTGCACTGCAATGATTGCAGGGAGAGCGTGCAGAGCATGCCGATCTGGGGGGCGGGGGGGAGGGGTGGGTGGGGGGTAAATGGGGAGGGGAGTGAGTGGGGAAGGCACGCACCCGCTGCTGGCGTGGCAACGGAACTGCCCCGCCGTGCAGTGCAATGATTGCAGGGAGAGCATGCAGAGCATGCCGATCTGACGGGGGAAGGGGGAGGGCGAGAGTGGAAGAGACGGAAAGAGCACAGGGAGGGGAGTGAGGGGGGAAGGCACGCATCCGCTGCTGTCGTGGCAGCGGAACTGCCCCGCCGTGCACTGCAATGATTGCAGGGAGAGCGTGCAGAGCATGCCGATCTGCGGGGGAAGAAGTAAGGAAGGAGAGAAAAAGGATGAGCGAGGGAGGCACGCGCCGACAGACAGCATGGTAACACAACGCCCTGTCTTGACTAAAAGCGCGCGTGGCTCCGCTAGCAAGCAAAGCCACGTGAAAGAAGAGTGATATTGAGACGTCTCAAAAACACTCTTCTTGCACGTGGCTCCGCTATCCGCCAAAGCGCTCGAAACACAAGCGAGTGTTTCATTCAACTCCGCTGTATCAACCGTCGTTTGCACCTCACGGTAGCGAGGGTTTCAACTCTTTAGCAATGGTAACGAATCGCACCTTGACGCACGCGCCGTTGCTGCACCGCCGCTCCCCCGTGGGGCACTCCGCCACGGCTGGCGGCGAGTCGGGGTCCGCCGCCGTCCCCGCCCCCCCCGCGCAAGTCGCGTCCCCCGCCGGGCACTTGGGCGGCGGGGTGTAGCTTCCGCTGATGACGTCATCTCCCCCATCGCCGCCGTCTCCGCCGGTTGTGCTGCCGGCCGTGGACGTGCCGGCGACGCCGGTGGGTCCTACGGACGTCGCGAAGGAAGCGGCGGCCTGCGAGGGGAGGGGGAACGGGAGGGACAGAAGGCGAGAGGGAGGGGCGGGAGGGGAAGTCTTGTTTTGAGCCGCCTCAAAACAAGACGTCGCGGCGGAAGCGGCGGCCTGCGAGGGGTGGGGAAACGGGAAGGAGGGAACGGCGGGAGGGGAAGAGAGGAACGCGGGTGGGAAAGGTAAGGGTTGGGAGGGGGAAATGTAGGACGGACCCTTTCGAGACGTTTCGCTGTCCCTTCCCAGTCGAGAGTCTGTTGGTCGGACGTGCGTGAAGCTGGAAGAGAGGAGGCGGGGAGGACGGAGAAGCTGCGAGAAAAGGAGGCCAGATGTGAACAAGGTGTAAGAAGTTTTTTTTGAGAATTCTCAAAAGAAGTCGCGCCAATTTTTTTCCTCGGCGTATTGGCGGCCGGATGTAAGAAGGTCTGGGGCTTATTTGTGGATGCACAGCGGAAAAGAAATTTAGTGTCGTTTTCAACAGCGGTCTGCGACGAAGCTCGCGGCGAGGTTACTGAGCTTGCGATGGGGTTACCACATCGCTAAGCAGCTGACAAATCAACCGGTCTTTTTAGCGTAGGGATTCAACCCGTTTTAGCGGAAAAAAGGAGCAGCCACGAATATGGGACTACTAGCGGTGCAGCGGAGCACTAATAGTGCGAATCCCCACAAAGATGGTTCGGATGGCATTCAAACTGCTCGGCGGAGTAGTAGCACCCGTGGCTGCGCGAACAGGAGGTGGTCGACGGTGGGGGGCTATTCAATGTCTTTCTTGTGAGAAAGTATTACAAAAGGCACGCAGGTGTTGATAGGTGGCGGATGGCTGGGGGCTACTCGGATTTACCTCTGTGAGTGGAAGTGCCAGCGACGCGAGGAGCAGCGCGCCGAGTGACCAAACTAGTAACGGAGTTAATCTCCTCTGGCGCATCCGCGCAAATCGTGCCGCTTGCTCGCCATCTTTCCGTGAGACATCCATTTCGACGTTTCGCTCGTTAATCTCCACTCCACCCAGAGAGCCAAATAGGATTCTTCCTTTCGCTTTCCTTCTTAGCAACAAATACTGCTTTTCCGTACTACCTATTGTCGACTCCCCTACACCCTAGGTCGTTAGGCAGCTGCTATGGTCTACTAGGTTAGGCAGTCTACTGATAAGTCCTGGTTAGCGAGGTTGCTGTTTCCTTCAGGTGGGATGGGGTGGGGTCGCGCTAGGAGCAGAGAGCGAGGTTTAGGCTGGTTTGGGGTGGTTTGGGGTTGGGATAAGCACAGTGAGTGCGATACACGACAGCATCTGTGACAGTCACTTCCAAAACGAAACTGCTGTGAGTACACGTACAAGTGACGGGCTGATAGGTGCAAGTCGGTGCTTCCTGAAATGTGAGCTGCGAAGCGCAAGCAGCCAAAGCTGGGAAAGAGGCCAGGGGGTGTCCAATTATGCAATTGGAGTTTGTTTTGAAGATAGCTAGTTACATTCAGAGCAGCGCTTTCAAGCTAAATTTGATTTCCAGTATTGTTGGTCAGAGATGCATGCAGCACAACCCCCCAGCGCGAAAGGGACCCTGATACGACACAAAGTACCTAAGTCACACCCCCAAATTTCATACAGTAGCTTCAGGTGGAAAACCAGCAAGTCTGTTTTGGCTGGCTGGCACCATGTCAGACCAGATGCCTGCGCATGGGATTGCTCACTGCCGAACCGCACTGTCGCAGCTGTTGGACAAGTGGTACACCTGCCAAGTTGCTTGCCTACCAATTGGTTGGTTTCCCACTCTCCTCCCCACAAGCATCTCGACTGTGTATTACAGTATATGTAACCGTTGTAGAGACTGCACATCGTAAAAATCATTCACTGTAGCGAAGCATTTAAATCAGTATTCAACAGTTTTGGCATCTTCTGAGTTAAATACTACAATTAGCACATCCTTAAAATCAGAATACAAACAAAACATACGGTTTTCCTGTGCATATTAACATTGAATTGATTAATAAAATGAAGTTATATCAGGCATGATCATAAGCTGAATGTATTTTCCCTCCACTTACCGGTCATGAAACCTACTACCTGAGCAATGTTTCTAAATTCGATTATGATTATGGCGAAGTAATAACAGCTCAGTACTCCCCGACGCTGACGCAGCAACACGTCCGCGCTAATAGCCCATCCGCTGCAGCCGTTTTCTTACGCGGCCCCGCCGCTGATTTCCCAATCAGGCATTGCAAACACTCACTGAGGGTGGGTCACAAAAGTATATCAGAAGCGGTTAGACACGATATTGTGCAATCTGAAGCGGTTATTTGAAACTCTACTGACCCCCCCTCACTCCCCCCTGCCCCTTCCCTTTCCCCCTTCACTCTCAAACTCACCTGCCCCACGATTGTCACTTCCTTCCCAGCCAGACACCACCACACCGCACCACACCAACGCCCCCAATCTAATCTTCTGCTCCTCCTGACCAGTGACCAGTCAGCAGTCAGTCAGAGCAGCAACCAAGCAGCCAAGCCGTCAATCGCTCTCCCGCATCCCATCCAACCAATCACAGCGAGCAGCGCAGACCAGCCATCCGCCGTCAGACCCGTCGAGCCCGCGCCGCGCCTCTCCCAGCAGCTTCCGCTATTAGCCGCTCACTTCCCCGCCGTCCCTTTCGCGGTCTGCGCTTTCCGCTCGTCCCGCCGCGCTCTCCGCATCTGCGTGCGCCTTACCCGAGCCGCTCGCCCACGCAGACTCTCCGCTGGTCGCTTTCCGTCCCGTCTCTCCTCCACTCATCGCGTTACACGTGGCAGTATTATCCCACCTCGTCAGGGAGGCGGTTCGAGCGCGGGCTCAATCTGCCGCTTCGCTCTCTTCCTACGGGGCCCTTCGACGGCCTGTTTCGCCGCACCTCGCGGCGCCGATAGCGGCGGGCGTAGAGCGTAGAAAAACGTCGCAGGCGTTGCGTTCATCGCCCGTCAAGTCTACCGTTGGCCGTCAAGTGTGCCGGTAGCTGTAAGCGAGCATGAGGGCGCTGGTGGCCGTGAAGCGCGTGATCGACTATGCCGCCAAGATCCGCGTCAAGGCGGACGGGGTGAGCTTATAGCGAGGCACGACTATAGCGGGGATAGGATTATCGCACGGATGGGATTTTATCACGGATAAGACTGTAGCGGGGATGGAACCATAGCAGAGAAACGGTCATTTCTCCTATTCCCCTCCCTTCTGTTCCTCCTCTCCCTCCCCAACTCCTCCCCTCCTCTCTCCCTCTCCCCTCCCCCCGCCCCTCCTCCCCCCTCTCCCCTCTCTCTTTCCACGCGAGGTTTAAATTTAGTAAAAAGAGCTCACATCCCCATCCTCCTCTCCACTCCGTCCTTTTCCGTCCCCCCTGGCGGCCTGGGGGGGTATGGAGTGCCAGTCCTGGCCGGAGTGGAAGAAGTGAGTGTAAGATGTCACTAATCTCTTCTGGGAGGGGAGGGGGGGGGGGGGGGGGTTAGGGGGCACACGGCCCAACCCCCTCCTCTCCCTTCCGTATGGTCTCCCTCCCCCGTGTCTGCGCTTCTGTCTGCCTGCCTTACCCCTTCCTAACTCCCATCCCTCCCCATTTTGAGTGGAGTGGAGAGGGCGAGTGTGAAGATGTCAATGTTTTACCTTTGTGAGGCCGCGCTGGAGGAGGCGATACGGCTGAGCTGACCTCACTCACTGCTCTTCTTCCCTTTCCCTCCTTCCGCTTCCCCTCCGCTCCCCTCCCTCCCTTGACCAGTCCGGAGTGGAGAAGGCGAGTGTGAAGATGTCAATGAGTTGCCTTTGTGAGGCCGCGCTGGAGGAGGGCAGTCAGTCAACCCAAGTCCACTGCTCTCCTTTCTCCTCTCCCCACTCCCCCCCCGCTATCCCTCCCACCAGTCCGGAGTGGAGAAGGCGAGTGAGAAGATGTCAATGAGCCCCCTCTGTGAGATCGCAGGGGAGGAGGCGGTACGGCTCAGCTCACTGCTCCCCTTTTCCCCTGTGTCTGCGCTTCTGCCTGACTGTCTTCCCCTCCTCCCCTCCCGTCCGGGGTGGAGAAGGCGAGTGTGAAGATGTCAATGAACCCCCTCTGTGAGATCGCAGGGGAGGAGGCGGTACGGCTCAGCTCACTGCTCCCCTTTTCCCCTGTGTCTGCTCTTCTGCCTGACTGTCTTCCCCTCCTCCCCTCCCGTCCGGGGTGGAGAAGGCGAGTGTGAAGATGTCAATGAACCCCCTCTGTGAGATCGCAGGGGAGGAGGCGGTACGGCTCAGCTCACTGCTCCCCTTTTCCCCTGTGTCTGCGCTTCTGCCTGACTGTCTTCCCCTCCTCCCCTCCCGTCCGGGGTGGAGAAGGCGAGTGTGAAGATGTCAATGAATCCCTTCTGTAAGATCGCAGGGGAGGAGGCGATACGGCTCAACGCCTTCCTCCCCCTGTGTCCCTGCTTCTGCCTGCCTGTCTCCCTGCTTCTGCCTGCCTGTCTCCCCATCCCTATCACAACCAGTCTGGGGTGGAGAAGGCGAGTGTGAAGATGCCAATGAACCCCTTCTGTGAGATTGCAGTGGAGGAGGCCATACGGCTGAGCCCTCTGCTCTTCCTCCCTTTCCCCTCCTCGCCCCCTCCCCAATCAGTCCGGAGTGGAGAAGGCGAGTGTGAAGATGTCGATGAATCCCTTCTGTGAGATCGCAGTGGAGGAGGCCATACGGCTGAGGGAGAAGGGGGCGATCAAGGAGGTCGTGGCCGTCAGCCTGGGCGTGCAGCAGTGCCAGGACACGCTCAGGTGAGATCAGCAGTGCCAGGACACGCTCAGGTGAGATCAGCAGTGCCAGGACACGCTCAGGTGAGTGAGACCAGTGCTGGGCTGGATGAGTTTTAAACAGGTACAGCGTGGTGGAAATGGCTCAACTCACCTCGGTAAAGGGAAAAAGGGGCGGACAGGGCGGAACTGGTGAAGGTGGACGCGGCACGGCACAGCACAGCACAAGAGGAGGCATTGAAGCCTCTTCCCCTCCACCGCTCACCCCTTGCTCTCTGCTGCTCCGTCCCTGATTGTGTGTGTTGTGTGCAGAACCGCTCTCGCGATGGGGGGGGAGAGGACAGAGCGGTACTGGTGAAGGTGGATGCCGCACAGGAGGAGGCGTTGGAGCCTCTTTCCCCACCGCTCACCCCTTGCTCTCTGCTGCTCTTCCCCTGCTTGAGGGTGTTGTGTGCAGAACCGCTCTAGCCATGGGAGCAGACAGGGCGGTACTGGTGAAGGTGGATGCGGCACAGGAGGAGGCGTTGGAGCCGTTGATCGTCGCTAAGCTGCTCAAAGGGGTTGCTTTGAAAGAGACGGCTGATATGGTGTTCCTGGGGAAGCAGGTGAGATGGCTGAAGGGACTCAGTGCTGCTGTTGGTGTTGTGAGCAGTGAGTGAACGAGTGGGACAGGAGGAGGAGCTGGAACCATTGATCGTGGCGAAGGGGTTGAGCTACTCAAAGGGGTTGAGCTACTCAAAGGGGTTGAGCTACTCAAAGGGGTTGAGCTACTCAAAGGGGTTGAGCTACTCAAAGGGGTTGAGCTACTCAAAGGGGTTGAGCTACTCAAAGGGGTTGAGCTACTCAAAGGGGTTGAGCTACTCAAAGGGGTTGAGCTCAAGGAGACAGCCAACCTGGTTTTCCTGGGAAAGCAGGTATGATGAGTGCCAGTGGTGGTAATATAAGGTAAGTAATGGTGCTGCTGATAGTATCGTCACAGGAGGAGGCACTGGAGCCGTTGATCGTGGTGAAGCTGCTCAAAGGGGTTGCGCTCAAGGAGACAGCTGACCTGGTGATCCTGGGGGTATTCAGTACGGATGGTGTTCCTAGGTGAGAGGGCAGGTGGTGGTATTCAGGTGGTACGGATTGAAGCTGCTCAAGCACGGTCTCATCTCAAGTCACAGCAGGCATCAGTACGGTCCGAAGCTACTCAAAGGAGTTGCTCTCAAGGAGACGGCTGATATGATGTTCCTGGGGAAGCAGGCGAGGAAAAGTGAAGTCACTATATACTGTGCTGGTGGTGGTGGTGGTGGTGGTGGCGGCGGCGGCGGCGGCGGCGAAGCCAGACGGGGCAGATGGCGGCGGCTCTCCTATTCTCCCTCCCCACCTCGTAACTAGGTCACACAACCTCGTTCTCCTCTTTTTTCTCCCTCCCCTCCCATGCAGGCAGTAGTCAACGACCGCAACCAGCGGGGGCAGATGCTCGCTGCGTTGCGTCCACTCTTCTCGTCCCTCTCGCCCCACTCGTCTCCACCCTCTCCTCCCTCCACCTCCCCCTTCCAGGCAATAGACGACGACCGCAACCAGCCGGAGCAGATGCTGGCAGCGCTGCTGGACTGGCCCCTTGTTACCGCACTCGTCCGCTCCACTCTTTCCGTCCCCCTCACTCCGTTTGTCTCCCACCTCTCCCTCCTCTCCGCCCACCAGGCAATAGACGACGACTGCAACCAGACGGGGCAGATGCTGGCAGCGCTGCTGGACTGGCCGCAAGCCACCTTCGCCTCCAAGGTACACCCCGGTTCTCTCAGACGTATCGGTTACATGCTGACTGCCTTGGGTCACATGACTGCCAATGCAGATGCTGCAAGCCAATGCAGAGATGCAATTACCACGTGATGGGGGAAGCGAGATGCCGTATGAGCCTTGTCATGGCTGTGTGCACTAGGTGGGTGCACACCACACGGGTATCGAGCTAGCACGTGCTGCCTGTGCGTGCTTTCAAAGATGATTCCTCGAGAATCCAACACACACGCTCTTGTATGGCTTGGCTGGCGCACTAAACCCTTGCCTCTGCTCTTTCCTCGCCCCTTGCCCTGTCGTCGCCCCTCTTGCCTCTGCTTGCCGCTCCTCCCCTCGATACCCTTCGCGCCCCACAACACAGGTGCTGCTGGATGCGGCAGCTCGCAGCGCGCAGGTCACCCGGGAGATTGACGACGGGTTAGGACGCCCGTATCACCCATTGCCTCCTCGCCCCTCGCCCCTTCCTACCCCTGCTCTGCTCGCCCTTCGCCCCGCAACACAGGTGGTGCTGGACACGGCTGCTCGCAGTGCGCAGGTCACGCGGAAGATAAACCTCTTGCCCCTTCGCCCCTTCCTACCTCTGCTTGCCCCCTCACCCCTCACCCCTCACCCCTCGCCCCTCGCCCTTCGCCCTTCGCGCCCCACAACACAGGTGGTGCTGGACACGGCTGCTCGCAGTGCGCAGGTCACCAGGGAGATTGACGATGGCCTTGAGACAGTCAGCCTTAAGCTGCCAGCTGTCATCACGTGAGTGGTGCATTGCAGGGACTCTCAGGGTTAAAAACATGTCAGCTAAAATCTCAGAAATGATTCGGAGACTTGTCTTTCTTAACCTCTGGGCTGCTAATTATTCTCAAAAGTGATATCTGGACCAATGTTCAAATCTAGATGGGAGGGGACTGGCCTGTTTGTCAGTGGTGCACTGCAGTCTGTGCCACCCGCACGGTGCACGTGGTGGGGGTGAGGGAGGGAGGCGCATCAGCACCTCCTAAATCACCTGTCCCACTCTCTTGCTGCCTTCTTCCTCCCCTCTCCCCCCTCCCCTCCCTCACCTCCCTCCCCCAGCACCGATCTACGACTGAACGAGTCACGCTACGCCACGCTGCCCAACATCATGAAGGCCAAGAAAAAACCCATCAGCGTGCTCTCTGGCTGCCTTCCATTCCTCCTTTCCACCAACCAACCTCCTCCTCCACCCCTTTCCCCCCATTCCCCCCACACCACAGGTCCGGTCTCCAGTTGAACGAGCCATGCTATGCCACACTCAAGGTGACTCAACAGTCACCTTGAGAGAAGGAGCCGCCTCAGCGCCTTCTAACTCACCTGTCCCCCTCTTCCCCTCCTCTTGATGCTTTCTTCCTCCCTTCTTTCCCCCCCTCTGCCCTCATCACCTCAGCACGGACCTACGGCTGAACGAGCCACGGTACGCCACGCTGCCCAACATCATGAAGGCAAAGAAGAAGCCCATCGCTGTGCTCTCTCCCTCCGACTTCGGGCTTGACCTTGCAGACCCGGCCACCCGCAGGGTGCACGTGGTGGGGGTGAGGGAGCCGCCTGCGCGTGTGGGGGGACGGATCCTGGGGAGTGTGGATGAGCTGTTGGATAAACTCAAGAACGAGGCCAAGGTTCTGTGAGGCAGCTCATGGATTGTAATGGAGGGCTTGTAACGAGGATGAGGTGCTTGTGGTGGTGATGCAGGTGATGGGGGTGGGGGAGGCACCTGTGCGAGTGGGGGGCCGGATCCTGGGGAGTGTGGAGGAGCTGTTGGATAAACTCAAGAACGAGGCCAAGGTGCTGTAGGGAGTATGGGGGTCTTGTAACAGGGGATGGAATGTGCATGCTAGTTTGATGGATATAGTTTATGAACAAGCATGGATACTGTTGCAGGAATTGTTGTCAAGTAATGATTCTGATGCTTGGAAGTCATGCACCAACATAAAGTATCGCACCCTGGCACTTGCCTCCATGCAGTCTTGAGAAAATATATAGGTTATTGTATGATACCCCAATAAGGACGTAATAACCTATGTGCACGTTTTCATAACGAGCACATTACCTATGCGGTATGCAATGCAGTGCATTGAGCACGAGGCGAACACGAACATCAATGCATACGCCATGCGGTTTTGCCTAGCTAGCTCCGAACAGCTAAGAACGAGAGTAGAAGTCGAGGTCAAAAGAGTGGTAGCTAGCTAAGCACGAGAGTAGAGGCTGTTCGGAGCTAGCTAGGCAACGACCCGTTCGAGAAATCCCGTGGATACCGAATTCCGTCCTGTTACACCAGCCCGCGAGTTGTTTCCTTTTCGTAAGCACGAAGATATGAAATCATGGCGACAACAGGGCGACACCGGCGTGTCGCGTTTGGCAGCATTTGGCAGCGTTTCGCAGTTTTAGGAGCGATAGAGGAGTCCGTGTGGCCAGCGTTGCACTGGGGCCCGGCCACTATGAAAGGCGCTCAAGCAACTATCTGGCCACACGGACTCCTCTATCGCTCCTAAAACCCCCTCTCTTTTCTCTCTCGAGTTCCCATCTACTTTTGGCACAGAGTAGTAGCAGTAGCAGTGTTCTCTCCACCGTAAGCTGATCTACTTGCGGAGCTCGGGAATCTTGCAATGGCGTTCGTCAACGGGAGCTACATCTGCCTGCTGCTGCTACTGCTGCTTCTTCTCGCGGGTAAGTAAATGCCGGCGGTCTGTCCCCCCCTGCTGCTTCTGCTACTTCTCTCCACCATGCTGCTCCTGCTCTCCTCGCAAGTGACCGGAGCTCTCGAAACGTCCGCCGCATTCGTATCAGTAATGATCATCTCGTGCCTTCCCGCGCCCTCTCATGTGCTCTGCTCTGCTGTGCTGTGCTGTGCTGTTCTGTGCGTTGCTGTGCTGCGCGGTGCCGTTGTGCGGTGCTGCTGCAGGCTCCCTGGACACTCCGTGGACCACCATCCGCACTGCTTCTCTCGCAGTAAGCTCCGTTTCTTCATTTGTTCGTGCCTCACTGCGTTTATTTGTGCCACTATGCTTTTTTTTCACGCAACAAACCCTTTTGCATTCAATTTCTTGATCCGTTTGCGCCATCTACGCTTGAGTGCACTCTTCCCCCCGCCCTGAGTGCGCTCTTCTTCCCCCTTCCCCCCGTAAATGCGCTCTTCCCCCCGCTTCCCCTTGAAGTGCGCTACCCCTCCCTCCTCCAGGTCGCTAGGACGGTGGAGGGTGAAGAGGAGTCTCTCGACTCTTCCCCCTGAGTGCGTTCCCCCCCCCCCCCCCCCCCACAATTCCCTTCCGCCAGGATGCCAAGACGGTGGTGGTGGGGTGGAAGGACCAGGGCTGGAGCCCCAGCGTGCGCACGTGGCAGCCTCCCCTTGTCAACGATGGTGACGTTCTTGGTTAGTACGTGTCAGTACAAGACAGGTGGGCTGCGGAGGCCTTACATCCGTGAGTTTCATCGTGCGCGCATGTCAGCCCCCACTAGTCAATGTTGGCGACGTTCTTGGTCAGTCGTTCCGGCTTTCCTGCTGTCTGCTCCTCTTCACTCCTACCCAAACCCTTTCCTCTCTTCTCCTGCTCACTCTCAGACGTCGTGTTCTGAGTCGACTCAAACCACGCGCCTTTCATCCGCAACCCCCATGCCCGTGTGCCTGCAGTGTTCAAGTGGAACGACTGGAGGCACGAGCACAATGTGGTGGCTGTCTGTGGATCGCAATTGCATCTTGCTCTGCTACTCTCTCGCTCTTGCACTTGGCTTTTTATCTCCCCAACCCCCATGCCCGTGTGCCTGCAGTGTTCAAGTGGAACGACCCAGTGCACGAGCACAATCTGGTGGAAGTGGATCCCAATCGCTTCTTGCTCTGCCACTCTGGCAGGAATGGCCCGTGCATGACTCTAAACATCCTCTCCCTCTCTCTCTCTCTCGCTCATGCTAAACTCGTCCTAAACTTGCGTACCCTCTTGGCCTTCTGGCTCGCTACGTGGCTCTTGGTCGGCAGCGAAAGGTGCACATGGATGCTGCTAAGAGGGTACTACACTACTTTTGCAGGACATCAGGCATGGGGCTCGTGCTTGGAGGACGGGGCGACGTTGTCCTCACTGGGCACTCGGACGCTTCTTGGGTTGACGACCAGGCTACGCAGTGGTCGTCACAGGGTTACACCTTCAGCCTTGGCTCTGGTTCAGTTTCCTGGCATTCTACACGCTCGTCTTCAGTTCTCGGCTCCAGTTGTGAGGTTGAGATCTACGCTACAGCCATGGCTGCACAGGAGCTACGCCGGCTCACCTACTTGCTGACTGACTTGGGAGAGCGGCCTCGTTCTCCTCCAGTGCTGTACGTCGACAACAAGGCCGCCATTGCCTTGTGTTAGGAGCACAGACTGGAGCACAGAATGAAGCACATCGCTCTGCGTTACTTCCTTGCTCGAGAGTTGCAGCAGCGTGGTCAGCTTCGTCTTGCTCACGTGGCCACTCGGGCCAACACTGCTGATATATTCACTAAGGCACTTCCGTCTGGTGATCATCAGCGTTTTTGTACTTTGTTAGGCCTTGTGTTTATGTTTCCTCACTTGCTGTAGACTTTGCTTGTACTGTGATCTATATATATACATGCATGCTTGCTCTGCTAGGTAGAGATCACTGTGTTGTTGTTGTTGCATATATACCTCTGCATGTGAACTGGCCTTGTGGCCCTTTGCTTGTGCTCAGTGTGTGTGGTGACGTTGTGATCCACCCTGAGCTTGCTTTGTTTCTCTTGACTGGTCTTGTGACCCCTTGGGTGTGTCAAAGTATATGCATGTTATATATGTGTAGGCTGTAGTGGGGTAGCCAATTTGGGGTACAGCCCCGTTTAGGGTTTCATACTTGTACCCAACTCTTCCATAGTGCATTCATTTTTTTCTGTCTCTAGATTCTAACATCCGCTACGCTGGCACTATGCCTTTCTAGCATGGTATCAGAGCTACTCTAGGGGGCATGCTGCCATATTGGTTCAGGAATTTACTGGCATTCACTTCGGATAGGTACCTGCATATAGTCAGAGTACCGCACACCCGTTCTACGCTTTCGTACACCTGGTGTTCGCTGCTGGTTACATTCGCGCGTTTAACGCACACTTGGTGAACGGTTTGATTAAGGTCATGGCGCACTTCGATGGCGAAGTGGATGCTGGAAATGCGGCTTTTGAAGAAGCCATCATGGCTCAGCATGTGCATCTGGACAACATGATTGCAAGGGCACCACCAACACTCCGAGCTTCGTTAAGGAACAAGTTTGGAATGACAATCCAGCCAAGGACAACGTTCTGTCATGAGTCCAGCAATCCGTCCACCCGTGGACACTCTCATTTAAGCACTCCACGTACTAACCAAACTCGTGCAAATGTTCATGCAGAAATTGATGGTGAAGGGGAAATGGGCATACCTCAAGGAGGAGAGTCATCCCAAGGGAGGGATGCATCTGTCCAAGGAGAGGAAAGCGCCGATCCCGCACCTCAATCATCCATGCAAAAGGAAGCTGGGATTGCAGTGCATGGTGGAATGAGAAGTGGACAGATTGGGCAGCATGGTGACGGAAATGGTCAAGTGGGCGTGGAAGGTGTGGGGTTTGCCTCCTACACTATTGGTGCTCCCCCACTACGACGACTTGCAACTAACTCCCATCCTATTGGAGTTCCTCCCATGGCCAGGTCTCACCTTCATGGCGGCTACAACATCATTCCTCCACGTGCACATCGTCCACCAATCGGCGCACACTCTGTGGACAGCATGGGGCGGATGGGATACGGAATGCGACGTGATCAAGTGGAAGTGCTGGAACGTCAACTTGGTGGCCAGAATGGAGATATGCAGCTCACAGTGCAGCTACCTCGACCGTCAAACTTGCCCACTCTCTTCGACCCCGCTCCACGTGAATACACGGAGGAAGACAAGGAACGGCTGTCACGCAAAATGGTGGGAGCAACGGTGGACAAAGCGTTCACCACTACTCCGTTTGATGGCTCGAACTTCCGGGAGTGGGCGCTACGGTTTCGTATGAATGCTCGCGTCACGAATCTGTGGGAGTTCTTTGTGACCCTGCAGTATCCGGTTACCATGGGAGATGGTGACATTGACGACGCTATGGGGCGGCTTGAAATGCTACAGGCGGATTACTCACAGCGTGCGGCGCTCGCCTTTTGGGTCCTACTACACAGCGTAAGCGCCACAATTCAGCTGCAACTGGACATGTTCCAGGAATCCTATAGCCCGGCATATGAAGCATGGGAGTACTTAATGGATACGTACCAGGCCAAAGATTCGGTGGCGAAGGTCTCTCTCTTGAAGCAGTTGGACAACCTGAAAATGGGGAGTCAAGAGAGGGTGGAAGAGTACGTGAACCGTGCAATGGCAATCCGGGACTAGTTAGCACTCGCGGGGAAGATGGTGGATGGGGACACATTCACCTTAAATCTGCTCACCGGACTACCGGCGCATTGGGAGGAGATGAGGCACTCGACAATGCTTCACAACGTGACGGACAGCTTCACCTTGCAGCGGATGATGATTCAAGAGCAGAGGTATCACGACCTCATCATGAAGGATAACCGTGACCTGCGTCCACCTCGCATGGCTGGACAAGCCCGTAGAGACCGCTCACCTCTCGTGTGTTGGTACTGCAAGGAGCCAGGCCATCCCTACTTCAAGTGTACCAAGGCACCCCCTGGCTGGTCACCACCAGGGTGGGAACCGCATACCCGCGGGAGGACAAAACTGCATACCGGCAACAGTCGTTCATTCTTCCCACGAAGGAATGGCAGCCCCAAGCGTGACAACGATGTGTCAAAACAGCAAGGGGCAGCCGGGGAAGACAAACAACGTACTGTTACATGCATTGCAACGGTGGTATCGTCACAAGCTGCCTTACCGCCAGCTAAAGCGTCATCGTGGTTGCTGGACAACGGAGGCAGCCAGCACATGACTTCGGACAAGCGCTGGTTTGAAGAGTTAACGGAGGTGGTCGAAGCTGTTAATGTGGAGGTCGCTGATGGGAGCCAGCTGAGGAGCAAGATGACAGGAACGATCAGAGCAACGGCACCTGATGGGACAACAGTTCGCTACTCTGACGTCCTCTACGTACCTGGCCTGAGGAGCAACCTGCTCTCCTATTGTCAGCTGCTGAAAAAGGGAGCGCGCATCAATACCCTTGCGAATGGAGACACCGAGATCACCATGACTGATGGTGAGGAGTACGTGCGGATTGGACTTGCCAAGAACGCGGATGGAGTGCTCGTGGTGCAGTATGAGCATGCACTTACGTCCGCCTATGATCCTGGTCAATCCCGTGATGATGCGTCATCAAAGAAGCATGGTTGTGAAAAGGTTACACCTTTTGTGCACACCAGGAGTGCACTTGGACACACGCGGGAGCGCGCTTTCCCGCACACCTGGAGTGCACTTGAGCGCGCGTTCTGCGCACGCATCCGTTGAGTACCGTTTGGCGCACAAAGCCTGCATCGTGCGGAATCCGGCACATGATGTTGCTACGGATGAAGTCTCAACCCACTGTGTGTGTGGTGTGGACTTCAGGGGGAGGAGAACAACGGTCCGCGGTAAATTCGGGAGGCGATGGAGCAGACCTTGTAGAACAGGACTCACCTGGAGCTGATGAAGTCGACGCAGCCAAAGGAAAAGGAGATGCTGCAGCAGATGACTTACCTACAGCCGGAGTACTTGTACCAGTGGAGGCTGAAGACAATGATGCTGGAAACAACGTGGGACATGCAACAATGAGCGTAATGTCAAATGTTATATCTGCTATATATGTTTAGGCTGTAGTGGGGTAGCCAATATGGGGTACAGCCCACTTTAGGGTTTCATATTTGTACCCAACTCCTTCATAGTTCAATCATTCCTGCTGCTAGATTCTAACATGGTATCAGAGCACTAGGTCCGTAGGACCGTTTTTTTGGGCCCACCTACCATTGCGGTTACCGCGCTACCCCACGTGTTGTCCTGCGCCTGCCTGCCTTGCCTCGTGACGTGCTGCGCTGCGCGCGCCGTCCTGCAGCCCTAGCGCTGCCTCCTGCTGCCCTAGGCCAGTACGCCGCCCCTGCAGGCTAGTAAGGCCCACGAGCCACCCCTACAGGCCCGTCAGGCCCCCGAGCCGCCCCTGCAGGCCCGCCAGGCCCCCGAGCCGCCCCTGCAGGCCCGTCACGCCCGCGAGCCGCCCCTGCAGGCCCGTCAGGCCGGCGCGCTGCCCCTGCAGGCCCTTGCTGCCCGCGCGCGGCCTCTGCCCGACCGCGCGCCGCCCCTACAGGCCCTCGCCGCCCGCGCGCAGCCTCTGCCCGACCGTGCGCCGCCCCTGCAGGCCTTCGCCGCCCGCGCGCAGCCTCTGCCCGACCGCGCGCTGCCCCTGCAGGCCCTCGCCGCCCGCGCGCAGCCTCTGCAGGCCGGTCAGGCCAGAGCGCGGCCCCGTCAGGCCACTGTCGCGGCCCCGTCAGGCCGCGGTCGCGGCCCCGCCTTGCTGCTGACGCGGCCCCATCTTGCCGCGGTCGAGGCCCCGCCCTGCCGCCGACGCGGCCCCGCCCTGCCGCCGACGCGGCCCCGCCAAATCGCTGTCGCGGCTCCGTCAGGCACCGGTCGCGGCCCGCCCTGCTGCCGGCGCGGCCCCGCCCTGCTTCTGACGCGGCCCCGCCAACCCTGCAGCTGACGCGACCGCGCCCTACTGCTGACGCGGCCTAGCCAGCCCTGCAGCTGACGCGGCCGCGCCCTGACGCCGACGCGGCCCCGCCAGCCCTGCAGTTGACGCGGCCCCGACCTGCCGCTGGCGCGACCCCGCCCTGCAGTTGCCGCGGCCGCGCCCTGCCGCCGACGCGGCCCCGCCTAGACGCTGACGCGGCTCCGCAAGCCCTGCAGCTGACGCGGCCCTGACCTGCCGCTGACGCGGCTCTAACCTGCCGCTGACGCGGCCCCACCCTGCAGCTGCCGCGGCCCTACTCTGTAGCTGCTGCTGCGGCCCCGCCGTCGCCGCCGTCGTGTGCCTACCCTCCTGCCGCCCGCCGAGCGCCGGCCCTTCCCACCACTGGTGAGCACCTGCTTGCCTGCCTGCCTGCCCGCCTGCCTGCCTGCCTGCCGCACCTGCCCTGCCCGCGCTGCTGCTGCTACTACTGCTACTGCTGCTACTGGCGTTGGCCAGATGCAGCTCCAGCGACGTCCGCGTGAGTCCCTCACGCCCCAGCAGCTTCGTGAGTGGTACGCTGGTTGGGGTTGTAGGGGTGGCCGCGCTGCTACTACTGCTACTGCTGCTACTGCTGTTACTACTGCTACTGCGGCTACTACTGCTACTGGTGCTACTGGCGGTGGCCAGATGCAGCTCCAGCGACGTCGGCGCGAGTCTCTCACGCCCCAGCAGCTTCGTGAGTGGTACGCTCAGAGTAGAGGGTCTTTGAGTACCGTTCGGTGCCTGTACGTCATTCGCACAGGTGATCGGACTAGTCAGGCTTGCGGGACGCTTAGTCACACACAGTCCCGCTGCTTCGCCCGTCTGAGCGACGCTTGGCGTACCGAGTTTGGTGACGAGGCTGAGCTCCCCACCTGGCTGGAGCTGCTTGGACAGGGGGTAGATATCTATGCTCTTGACTATGATGCTATTCTCACTGCCACTATACTAGTGCTGACCGTGCTTGTTACCTGTGCGTACCGCCTGACCCAGGTATTTAGCCTGCTGCTCTAGGTGCTGGTGAGGCTGCTGCTCTAGGGGCTAGTGTGTCTCCTGCTCTAGGTACTGGTGAGGCTGCTGCTTCAGGTGCTGGTGAGTCTGCTCTCTCTGGTACTGCGCCTGCTGAGGCCTTGTACACCTTCACACTTGACTCGGGTGCTTCTCGCTCCTTCTTTCGCGACAGCACCACCCTCATGCCGCTCAGTCGGCCGGTTCCAGTCTCCCTGGCAGACCCCTCTGGGGGTCCAGTCCGTGCGACCTCCTCCACTGTCCTCCCTTGTCCTGCTGTCCCGTCCGGCACACTGTCGGGTCTTTACCTCCCCTCGTTCTCTACGAACTTGGTGGCGGGTTCTGCGCTCCAGGACGCGGGTGTTCACCAGTTCACCCCCGCCTACGAGCGTGTGACACACTGCACGTGTGCTCAGACGGGTCGTCACCTGGCTACCTTCACTCGGCAGCCGAGGTCGGGCCTGTACACACTGACCACTGAGTCCCCTCAGGTAGCTGCGTCTGCGTCTGCGCCAGGTCAGTTGTCGGCCCCCTGCTCGTGTCGCGCCTTGTCGCACCAGACCCTCCTTTGGCACCACCGCCTTGGTCACCCCTCGGTGCAGCGCCTTCGCAGTATGCACCGCCGTGTCCTTGTCTCTGGTCTTCCCAGGGTTCTCCCTCCCCTCCCACCCTCACCTGCTCCTCCCTGTCTTCCCTGTGTCGAGGGGCGGCAGCGGGCCGCTCCTCACTCCTTCTCGTTCCCTCCCTACCGACTGAGTCCGACCGAGCTGACAGACATGAAGAAACAGATCGAGTATTTACTGGACAGACAACTGATCCGCCCATCCACCTCTCCCTACAGTGCACCAGTTCTCTTCACTCCAAAACCAGACGGCAGTTTACGGATGTGCATCGACTACCGCGCACTGAATAAACAGGCAGTCAAGAACAAATACCCCATACCGCGCATAGACGACCTACTGGACGAACTGCGTGGTGCAACAGTCTTTTCGAAACTGGACCTACGGTCGGGTTACTGGCAGATCAAGATGGCAGACAACTCGGTCCACAAGACGGCGTTCCGTACCAGATATGGCTACTACGAATACTTGGTGATGCCGTTCGGACTCTGCAACGCACCAGCAACGTTCCAGGCGGAGATGAACCATATCCTGCGGCCCTTGCTGGACGAGTGCGTAGTAGTGTACCTGGACGATATCCTCATCTACTCTAAGAACATGAAGGAGCACGTGGAGCATCTACGGAAGGTGTTCGAGATCCTGCGGCAGAACAAGTTCTACGTGAAGCTGTCGAAGAGCGACTTCGCCCTGAAGAAGGTGCAGCTTCTCGGGCACATGGTGAGTACCTCCCCCCCTGTTCCTAGCACCCTCTCCTCCTCCTGCTCCTGCTCCTCCGGTACCCCCGCCCCCCCCTGGTCCTGCCCCGTCTGGTGTGTCCCACGCTACCCCTCTACCCTCGGTCGCGCGTCAGGTAGCGTCTCCCTCCCCGCAGTCCTCCTCACAGTCCCCTCAGCAGCCTTCGGCACTTCCGCGACAGGTTACTGTGGACTCTGTTGGTGTTGGAGCTGGAGGTGCAGCCGCTGGCGGTGCTCGGTCTGGGGGTGCTCGGTCGCGGGGTGCTGGAGCTGGAGGTGCTGGCGCAGGTGGCGCTGGCTCTGGGGGTGCTAGAGCTGGAGGTGCTGGCACTGGAGGTGCTAGTTCTGGAGGTGCTGGAGTTGGTGGTGCTGGCACTGGCGGTGCTAGTTCTGGGGGTGCTGGAGTTGGAGGTCCTGGCACTGGAGGTGCTGGTTCTGGGGGTGCTGAGTCTGAGGAGACTGACGCTGGAGACCCTGGTTCTGCGGAGTCCACTCCGCCTCCCCACCGCCACGACACGCGTCTCCAGGCTGCCCGTCGGCGTGAGCGTGAGGAGCAGGAGCGGTTGGAGAGGGAGCGGCAGGAGCTGCGGGTGCTGGACCTTCTGGAGCAGCAGCGGCAGCAGCAGCAGCAGCAGCAGCAGCAGCAGCAGCAGCAGCAGCAGCAGCAGCAGCAGCAGCAGCAGCAGCAGCAGCAGCAGCAGCAGCAGCAGCAGCAGCAGCAGCAGCAGCAGCAGCAGCAGCAGCAGCCGCAGCCGCAGCAGCAGCAGCCGCAGCCGCAGCCGCAGCAGCCGCAGCCGCCGCTGCAGCAGCAGCAGCCGCAGCCACCACCGCAGCTTCCTCTGGAGCGGCAGTTGTTCCCACCTGTGAGTGGCCTGCGGGCCCTTGGCCTTTCCTCCTCTCCTCCTGTCCGCTCCCAGTCTCCTCCTGTGCTTGTTCCTCCCTTGCCTCCTCCTGACGACCGTCCGGCGGTCTGGTCTTCTCCTCCTCCTCGGTCTCCTCCTCACTCTGTCCGTCACGACTTGATCACTCGTTGTCCTCCGCGTGCTCGTCACTCGTCCCCTGTTACTGACCTCCACACTGCCCTCCTTTGTTCGTCCCGTCGTCGTTATCCTTCTCCTGTGTCCGTTCTCCCGTCTCCTCCTCCGTCCTCTCTCCCAGCCCTCCCCACTCCTATAACTGACTACTACCGCACTGTTCGTCCTGTTGCCGCACGTGTCCTCGCCACTCTTGTCACTGACTCTCGTTTCCCTCCGTCGTCTGCCTCGGCTCTTACTGCCGCTGTCGCTGAGTTTGCTGCCGCCAGCCACCTTGACTATGCCACCCGGGTGGTGCCAGCTCCTCCCTACCGTCCTCTGTCCGTCGGGGGTGGGTTTGCCCTTGGCTGTGACGTCCTAGAGGACAGAGAGTCTGAGCTGGAGTACTGGGCAGCCGCTTCTCCCTCTGTGTGTGCCATGCTGCTCTCCCCTGAGGGAGACCCCGACGCCCTTGACATACCGACTCCTCGCACTTACCGCGAGGCAGTGTCAGGGGCGTGGGCCTCTCAGTGGAAAGCGGCTATGGACTCAGAGTTGGCGTCTTGGAGATCCACAGGCACCTACGTCGACGCAGTTCCCCCTCCCAGAGCGAACGTAGTCGATGGCATGTGGCTCTTCAAGGTGAAGCGGCCGCCTGGAGCACCGCCGGTGTTCAAGGCGCGCTACGTGGCTAGGGGCTTCAGTCAGCGTGAGGGAGTTGACTTCTTCCAGACCTTCGCCCCGACCCCGAAGATGACTACTCTTCGGGTGTTACTCCACATAGCAGCGCTGCGAGACTACGAGCTGCACTCCCTCGACTTCTCCACTGCGTTCCTCCAGGGCCGACTGCACGAGGAGATCTGGCTGCGCCGTCCTCCTGGCTTCACTGACACCTTCCCACCTGGGACCCAGTGGAGCCTGAGGCGACCAGTCTACGGTCTCCGCCAGTCGCCCCGTGAGTGGCACGACACTCTTCGCTCCATGCTTCGTGACCTTCGGTTCAGCCCGTCCTCCGCCGACCCGTCGCTGTTTGTTCGAGCGGGTTCTACTCCGTTCTTTATCCTTGTCTACGTCGACGACTTGGTGTTTGCTACAGCTGACAGGGCAGCCCTGGCTCAGGTGAAGTCCGAACTGCAGAAGAGACACAAATGTACTGACCTGGGTGAGCTGCAGCGCTACCTTGGCCTGCAGATCACCCGGGACAGAGCCGCTCGCACCATCACACTGACGCAGTCATACATGGTGCAGCAGGTCCTTCGGCGGTTCGACTTCCAGTTCTCCACCACACAGCCCACTCCTCTTGCTGTTGACCACAGACTCACGGGCCCCTTTCCTGACGAGCCCTTCGATTCCAGTGGACCCTACGCAGAGCTGGTGGGCTGCCTCATGTACCTGATGACTTGTACTCGACCGGACCTCGCCTTTCCCCTCAGCATCCTTTCTCGCTTTGTTGCGACTGGGAGACACCGACCTGTCCACTGGACAGCTGCTGTGAGGGTGGCGAAGTACCTGGCGACTACATCAGGCATGGGGCTTGTGCTTGGAGGGACTCAGCCAGTGGCGTTGACTGGTCACTGCGACTCTTCCTACGCTGACGACGTGGAGACTCAGCGCTCGACTCAGGGTTACTGCTTCAGTCTGGGAGCTGGTGCTGTGTCGTGGAGGTCCACACGGTCGTCGTCTGTGGCTACTTCCAGTGCAGAGGCAGAGATCTACGCTGGTGCCATGGCGGCACAGGAGCTTCGCTGGTTGACCTTCTTGCTCGCCGACCTTGGTGAGCGGCCTCGCTCTGCACCGACCTTGTACGCTGACAACAAGGCCATGATCCTCCTATGTCGAGAGCCTCGACTGGAGAGCAGAGTGAAGCATATTGACGTGAGGTACTTCCTCCTGCGAGAGCTGCAGCGACGTGGCCAGGCACGCCTGGACTTTGTGGCCTCAGAGGCCAACACTGCAGACGTCTTCACCAAGGCCTTGGCGCTTGGTGATCACCACAGGTTCTGTGTGCAGTTGGGGCTTGTTGAGGTAGGCCCTCGGTTGCTGTAGTCTTGTTGTTTGCTCTGCTTGTTGTGCTTCCTATTTATATCCTGGTGAACTCTTGAACTGGCCTTGTGGCCGCTTGCTTGCGCTCGGAATTTATGTGGTGTCCTTGAGATCCACCTTGAGCTTGCCTTGTTTCTTGCTTTGACTGGTCTTGTGACCGTTTGTTCACCTTGCTTGCTTTGATGCCCCTCACTTAGCCTATGGGGGTGTGTCAAATGTAATTCTATGCTTGTAGGCTACAGTGAGTAGCACAATAGGGAGTACAGTTGTTAGGGTTGCATATTTGTACTTCCACACTTCCTAGTTTGACCATTCCGTTGCATTCCTATTCTAAGACTATGACAGTGGTGAGGTGACTGTGTTTGGTCCTGAGTGGGAGAAGTATGCTGATGGTTACTTCAGTGACGGGTTCTATGAGATGAACTTAGTCGCGACGAATGATATGGATGAGATCTATGAGGATCCTGAGTATGGTGAGATGGGAGAACTGGAGGAGTTATTGACTAAGGTTGATAAGAGCGAGGACACGGATGATACGGGAGCGAGTGTGGAGGCAGCAGTGAAGCAGGAAGAGGAGATAGTGATCACGGAGGCAGCAGCAGTAAACGGTGGAGATGGAGACGATGTCAACACTTTTGCAGCAGCGATCGTGGTTGAAGATGAAGCAGTAAATGCGAAGTGTGTGGGAGTTGAAGCTGTGAAAGGGGACATCATGGTGAAAGGATCAAAGGCGAATGCAACTGCAAAGGGGCAAGTGCTTAAGGAGGATGAACGCGTTGAAGGGTACGAGACCCGAGAGGTGTTGGGTGTAAAGATGCCGAGGAGAAGCGAGAGGCTTAAGAAAATCTCTCAGGGTTTGGATGTCAAGGCGCTCAACTTCAAGACACGTAAGGAGAGGTTCAAGGTGCAGGAGTTGCAGGGGAGCGTGAAGCCGACTTAGACCCTGTGAAGGCTACAAGGAGCAGGGGAGCAGTGCGAGTGGTGTTCGTGGTTGACGAACCACGGGGGAGATTGTTAGGGTTGGTTCGCCCAACCACGGAACCTAAGGCGAAAGCATCTACGACGGCGGAATGACGGCGAAATGGAAGCGCGTGTGTGAAACGGTGAAAATTGGCCTACGGTGGGGAATAGAGGCTACGGCGTGAGAAGCGGGAGAGAAATCGAGAAGAAATGTGCTAGAAGGAGGGAGAGAGAAGGAGAAGCATTGAGAATGAGATTGACGAGGGGAAAAATGTGCTTCGAGACCAAGGCGCGTTCGAGAAAGTTCGGGATTCGGACTTGCGGAGTGTTCACCGAATTCGGTTCGGTTGCGTGTGCGACTCGGGGTGAAACGAAGCGCACGCGGTTACTTGGGAAACAAGTGAAGTTACGAATCGCACTTTGTGTCTTGCCTGACTATAAAACTGCTTGTACTCATTCTGGAAAACATAACATTGAGAACATTGAGATTCTGAAAATTGCTGAAGTGTGTATTGACAACTTCAAGCAGAGCTGCGCATATCATTGGAATCGTGAGATTGTGGAGAACACGATAAGCAATAGCAAGTAGACTATTGCCTACTAAGGCGTTTACGATCCTAAGAAAAACAAGGATATGCGAGAATGGCGCGGCGAGAAACAGGCGAGTCGGGGAAAGGCAGGCAGGCATGAAAGAAGCCTAGAATAGAGCAGCAGGCAGTGCAGCAATAGCAGGAAGAACAGGATGCAAAGCATAGGTTGTGATCTCTGCTGGCAGGTGCTGAGGGGCTAGTGGTGGTGAGGAGGTTTGACAATAAGGAGAGCAGAACACCATTGTTCTCATTAGTAGCCGCTTCTGTATTTGATTGTGCAAAGACGTACCCTACACGTACCATATCTAGATTTTTTCCCAATCTTTGTCAGGATGACAGATATTTTCTCGCTGTCCTCCCCATGCCGGCCCAGCTGTGATTCTTCTCTCAGGCGACGGTGCAAGTGATGCTATTTTGTTTTCTTGATGGGCGACGACATTCTTAGCTGTCAGCGTATGCACTGCGCGCGTTTGCGCACGCAAGTGAAGCTCGTCAACAAGTTCGCATATAAGTAATCAGGGGCTTGGGTATTCGTACCGTATTTATTTTTAGCTTCTAATTTGCATCTCGTGTGATTTGGTTGTCAGAATGTTATTGTTCTCTAGCCTGCAGTGGGGTACTCTATAGCGAGTACAACCCCTTAGGGTTTCCTATATGTATCCTGCTGCTTTCTAGTGAACACCCTCCTTTGCTTATTCTCTCTTGCCTAGCTAGGACCTACCTAGCTATGGCTCCTACTTGTGCTTACTATCTTAACATGGTTTCAGAGCACTCACGCTCCTGGCCTGTGGGCCCTACTGCTGCTTCCGCTGCTACTCTGTGTGTTGCACGCCCCGTGGCGTGCGACGGATTTCTCTTCCCGCCGCGCGCTCGGAGCGTGCGGCGGTTTTCTGCCCGCCGTGCGCCCCGAGGCGCGCGGCGGTTTTCTGCCCGCCGTGCGCCCTGGGGCGTGCGGCGGTTCTCTGCCCGCCGTGCGCCCCGAGGCGCGCGGCGGCCTTCTGCCCCGTCGGTCCGCGCGTCGCCCCCGGGGGGCGCTTCGACGGGCGACGGGGACCAGCCCGTCGTCCCCCATCGCACGTCCTGGCCAGCACGGGCTGCGCTAGCCCCGAGCGCGGCCCGTACGGGCTGCGCCCGGCCCGCGCGCGGCCCGTACGGGCTGCGCCAGGCCCGCGCGCGGCCCGTACGGGCTGCGCCAGGCCCGCGCGCGGCCCGTACGGGCTGCGCCAGGCCCGCGCGCGGCTCGGGCCGCCTGCGCGCGGTTCGTCGGGCTGTGCCAGGCCCGTGGGCGGCCCGTTCCTCTCTGTCCCTGAGCTGCTCGCTGTCCCCCGTGCTTCTGACGGTGCCCCACCCCTGCTGCTGCCCGTTCTCCTGAATTAGGGTTTGGGGGTGAGGAGTGTGGGGGTGGCGGTTGTGTGTTACTCCCCTTGCTCCTCCTCCTCCCTGGTCTCCCACTGCTGCAGCTGCCGCTGAGGGGGGTGGGTGTGTGGGAGCCTAGGGTTTAGGGTTTAAGGGGGGTACCGTGGGAGTGGAGCTAGGGCTTGAGCAGGGGGTGTGTGAGAGGGGCGTGGGGCAGCTGGAGGAGGTTGTGTGGAGGTAGCGGTCGTGTCGCCTGCAGCGCCTGTAGTCCGTCGCCCTTGCTTCGGTAGCCAGTGAGCCTGTTGCACCAGTCGCCAGTGGGTCCGTTGCTCCTGCCGCTCGTCTATAGCCGCGGAGCCAGTTACTCCAGTAGTCCGTCGCCCTTGCTTCGGTAGCCACTGAGTCAGCCGCTCCTGTGCCCGTGCCTCTGCAGCTTCAGTCGTTGCCTCCCATCTTCTCTCCTTCCACAGTTCCTCCTCCTCCTCACTTGCCCTCTGCGACTGCCTCTAGCTTTACTTGTGCATGTGAACCTGCTCTAGGACTACTTGCTCTGCTGATTATACCCCACTTTGACTATGGGGGTGTGTCAGAATGTTATTGTTCTCTAGCCTGCAGTGGGGTACTCTATAGCGAGTACAACCCCTTAGGGTTTCCTATATGTATCCTGCTGCTTTCTAGTGAACACCCTCCTTTGCTTATTCTCTCTTGCCTAGCTAGGACCTACCTAGCTATGGCTCCTACTTGTGCTTACTATCTTAACATTGGTTTCATCAGGCGGAGTGAAGCATCCAGGCGAAGGGTCGTGTGGTAGCAGGAGAACCTAAGCGTAGATTCACCTGGATCATTTGCAGCCTGTTGGTTTCATTGATAGACCGAGGCAGAAATCCATCTGTAGAGCAGAAGCCACATGCGCCGCTAATATTCCTCCTCCCTGTTTCCAAAGCGGACGGTAGTGAAACTCGTTCCTAGTTCGTCACACGTCGCACCTAGAGCCGTTGGCATCAGCACTATCTCTTCTCCACTCATGTCCGTCTCGAGAGCAGACCCTAGCCTCCCTTCCTCTTCCTGGTTCTCATACCTCGCGGCCGTGCCACCTCCACCGAGTCCGCGGGAGATTAAGGACTTTGTCTTTGGCGGTCGCGATTCCAAGGAGTCGCTTGACCCGTACAGGAGGGAGGTGCGGGAAGGGCAGGTGCAATGGTGCCTGGCGGTGCTGCTGCTGGTGATTGCCTCAGTGTTGCTCGTCGTAATCCTCGTGGAGGAATCTTCGGAGCAACCCAAAGGGTCACAGATGCTCATAACGCACTATGTGAGTGTGAGCTTGCTGTTCTCGTCTGTTTCGTTCACATGACAATGACTCAGTTTCTGCCTTGGTATTTTTATGGAGAGCAATGAAGTTTTTTGTGTTAAAATCTGCTACCTATCTATTTTTCTGCTCATGCTGCTTGTGTTCATGCTGTTTTTCCTGCCCCTTCCATCAGCCCCTGCTTCCAAACTCATCGGCCCCTGCATTAGCTAAATGGCTTCCCCTCAATGCCTCTGCTCAGGTGAACACATCAACCAGTATGCTATTGAATGCTGAGATCAAGGAACATAACAATAGTTCCGTGAATAGCCTAGACAGTACAGCTGGCGCCTCAGACCGTGAGGCGCCATAATCATTGACTCAGCTTTTGATCAAACGGCCCAGCGTGCTACTAATGTGCTTTATAATAACATAAATCCGTAATCATCTGCTGTTACTATTGTAAATCTGTCAGGCACGTCTGAAAGAAAAGAGTGAATGGATACTTTTACTAGTAAATGAGGGACAGGGGTGTTAGAGATACATGAGAATACTAGCCTACGGATGACAAAACATATAACTGGGTCAAGGGGACTAATTTGAAGGCCTTCAAGTTCCAGCTCTCCAAAAAACGTTGGTGCAACTCAACGTTCCAATGAAGAAACCTGGCTCTTATGAAGAGAAATCTTTCATAGAACGCGCCGCGTCCGTCCGAAGCCTGTGGGTGGATAACAAGAAACAAAATCGTTGTGTTTTGTAAGATGACCGTCTCACCCGGACGTAATGCAAAACGAAATTGCCGCTAGCTGCAGATATTTACACAGGTGGAAAATAACTTCAGAAGGTATACACGTACCTTCACTCGTCGTCAGCGGGTTCAAGGCTCTCAATCTCGTCTTGATATCTCTTTTTATCGTCTTCCGCCATCTTCATGTATGGCTGCAAATTCATGACAGACGAAAAAAGTAACGTCAGTCTGACGCTATTATGGAAAACTGCCATAACACGAACTGGTGTTAGACGAACCGTCAGTCGCCAGTACACGAGAATTACTGAAAGGCAGAACTACCCACCCTCTTCTCTTTGTCGTCCAACTCCTTCCACTGAGCTCCCAGAATCTTCCCAAGCTCTCCGAAGGAAACGTCTGGATTGTTGGCCTTCACGACTTCTCTTTGCTCTTTGCAGTAGAACATGTACGGAGCTAACGGCCGCTTCGGAGCATTCGGGTCCTTCTTCTTCTTCCCTCCCTTCTCCTTGCCCTTCGCTGCTTTCGGCATGACAGGCGAGCCTCTGGTGGAAGGACCTTCAAATACCAACCGAATACTAAAAGACAAACTTCTTTCTGACACAGTCGCTCAACAACTAAGAGAGAAAGCAAAGAAAGCTGGGAACTGAAGCTCTGAAACCCCAATGAGAGAACCTTGGATGGCCTGCTGACTACTTGAGCCTGGTTTCCGCTTGGCAAATCAGTCAGTTGCTCGAGGCTCCGCTCACTTGCTCGCCCACGCGGAGAGGCACGAATATTGCTGGGAGAATTGCCAGGCAATATTTGCCCGTGAATCTTCTCAGGCAAATTGGGAACACTAGTGCAAATTCTGCTGGGAGTCGCAATGCTCATGGAGGCATCGAGCTCAAAAGCTGCCGTGAAATGCGCCGATTCCTGGGTTCCGTTATCAACCAATGATAGAGGTTCATTAAGTCTGGCAGCCAATGAATGCTCTCCTCAGCCAAATTGGCTGGTGACTTCCC